GCACTCGGAGGAACCTTGACGTGATCCAGGAGCTGCTGCGTCACGGCGCCGACCCTGCACTGAGGAACAAGGACGGCTGGAACTCGTTCCACATCGCCTGCAGGGAGGGGGACCCTCTGGTCGTGCAGCACCTGCTCCTTATTGCAGGTGAAGTCTGGAGGACGGAGAGCAAGACGCGGAGGACGCCGCTGCACACCGCAGGTGAAGCGTCTCACATTCCCCCGACAGATAAACTGAGTTGTCACACGAGCAAAGAGGATAAATACAGAATGTGTCCTGATATCAAACTATTCTTACATTGTTCTCTCCAAGATCCAAAGAAATCTCAGATCGTGAGAAAGTTTTCAGGGTAGGGATTATCTTTATGGTTGTATGAGAGATAGTAACTCCTGCTCTCTCTATTGATCATCCAGCGATGCATGGCTGTGAGGAGGTTGTTAGGATTCTGCTAGAGAGGTGAGTCGAAATTTAATTACATTATGTTTCTATAATTCTATACCTTTTTTTATATTCCTTATACTTAAAGATTGCACGTTACTTATTACTTGCTGATGTTGTTTTGACTCTTGCTGCTGTAATACTGCAAATGTCCCCACTGTGGGTCTAGTAAAGTTGCAAATCATATTCAAAATCTTAAGTGTAACATGCATATATATAAATAAATATTATGGAATAAGTACACTTGATAATACTCAAAAACATAATCATACGGTTTTGACCCAGATGTTGTAGTTTAGATCCCTGGTCTGGATAGGTCTGGTCTAGATGAACTCCTCCTGTCTGATCCTCACCTTCTCTGACCCTCTTCCAGATGTGGCTACACCCCAGACAGCGCAGACAGCTGTGGAGTCACACCTTTGATGGATGCTGTCAGGAACGGACACATCTCTGTGGCCAGGCTGCTTTTAGAACACCACCAGGTAGAGCACACGTCAGTTCAGCAATGTTTCAGCCATCATGTTGAAATGTGGTCCTTCCATCACCTGTGTCTGTGTCTGTAGGCGTCTCCAACGGCAGCTGACAAAGTTGGGGCTCAGCTGGTGCACCAGGCTGCTGTCACTGGCCAGGAGGAGGCGCTGCGGTTCCTGGTGCAGGACCTTGGTGTAGACATAAACCAGAGAGCGACTGACATTCAGCTCACTGCCCTGCATTACGCTGCAAAGGTAAAAAGCCAGTGATTTCCCACTGGTGGTACTTTTGGAGTTGCTCTGTGGAGTAGTTTGACGAATGGACTACCTGCTAATTTTCTAAGATAAAGCGCCAAAGAAGTTAAAAACGATTCGCTTTAAGTGATATATAAGAGTAAGAGATAAGTACTTTAATCGATCAAGCTATGTTTATTTATTCACCCCAAAATCAAATATAAATGTCAAGCGCTTTACTATCTTTACCACATACAAAACTTTACATTATGTGATGGACAGACATGCCCATAGGTTTTGTTTATACAGAGAGGACAGAAGTGGCAGCAATAACATTACAATATGGAAATATTACACACACATACTAACACGCAAATAAACTCTACTTCCTCATTTCAAACTGTCTTTCAGGAGGGCCACACGTCTACTATTAAAACACTGCTGGAGTTGGGAGCAGATCTTCATGTTCGGGACAAAAAGGGAAGAACTGGTAGGCGACGGCATGTGTTTTTGCACCTCAGCTACATTGGTGAATTTGTGGAATGCTTTAGTCATTGGGCCTGGAGCCAGTCACAACTGACATTGGGGCGAGAGGAGGGGTCCACTTGGACAGGTCCCAGGGCTCACACATAGAGAAAAACAATGTTCACATTCTCACTCCCCGATTAGTTTTCAGTTTACCTTAGCTGCATGTCTGTGGTCTGTGGGAGGAAGACAGAGTACCTGAGACAAACACTGATAAAACAGACCAGACAGAAGGGAAAATGGTGAAAAGATAACTAGATGCTTATGTTCTATGTGAAGTGATACAACATGTTACAGCAAATAAATATCCCTCTATGCTAAAATGAAATGTGGTCGCCTGGAGGGCAGGAAATCAAACAAAAGAAAAAAAACACTCTCTTACGCTTGTTTCCTCTTGTCAGCTCTTCACATGGCTTGCATTGGGCAGCATGCAGGAGCAGTGCGGTTGCTTCTGCAGCTCGAACTCGAAGATTCGGAGGACGCATCCGGCACAACGGCGCGGCAGCTCGCTAGGAAACCAGATGTTATGGCGGTGTTTGAATGCGGCTCAGCAGACACATAATAAATGATACCATGATGAAACAGAACACCCATCTGCAAAAGATTCCATTAATTTAAGTGAAAAAAAGAACCTGAGGTCAATGTTGTACGGATGGCATTAAATCATTACCTGTGTTACGTTGTACAGTGTTTTCTTCAATTACTTGAAGTCATGCTTAAGTATATTAACATCTGGACCTGTGCCACTGACTCCACCTGCAATAATTTGAAAAGCGTCTCGAAAGGGGACCTGAAAAAGTCGTGATGGTGCTTTTGCCAGGCGGCCAGCCACACTGCTCCATGAGAATCAGTTCTTTGTTTAAAAAAATGCTGTGAGGGGAAGTTTAGACATGATTGGACATACTTGAGATAAGCTTGGATGCCTGCGTGTGATCTTTGTCTGATTGTATTTTGATATTATTACAGTTCCTCTAAACTTGTCAGGACAGGGAACTAGACCTGAGCTTTAAACATCAGCAGATAGTTCCACTGGAATACTGCTATGTGTAAAATGTATGAGATGTGTATAAATAATGAATCTTTTTATAGAGGCCTTTTTAACTTTAGGGTCGATCATCCCTTTGAGTGTCTGCTCCTGATTTACACTGTGAAGTGAAGGGAAACAACCAGAACTATGATCATTTAAGCCTATAATGACATATTATATTATTATTATATAAACCCATATTCTCTTTTCTTTGTATTGAGTGTCTGTCTGCACTGTTTGTAAAAAAAAAACACTCCAGCCCCCAGTATTTGGTGAATACATTAATATCTTTGCACTTGTCCATTACCATCTATTTCAGTTTGCACAACTGCAGCCATCACTTCTAAGTTTGTATGATTTGTGATTGTATGTGCAAAAAAAAACAGATTCTCATCTGAAGGCATTCTGTAGTTGCATGCACAAAATTTAAAGGGATTATTCACCCAAAAGTGAAAATTCACTCATTATCCACTCACCACTATGTCGATGGAGGGGTTGGTGAAGAGTTTAAGTCCCCAAAACACTTTTGGTGTTTCAGGGGTCAACAACGTTGCAGCCAAATCCAATACAATTGAATCCAAGTGTCTGTAAGCTGCAGCCATCGTGACTTCTCGCAGCAGTAACTAAGAGGAGGATAACATTAAGGACATTAAGGCTAAAAACATGGGGTAAATGATCTGTTTCAAGTCGAATTTGAATGTTGGGATTTACGGACACTTGGGTGACACCACAGGAGCAGCATGGAGGCATTTTCTGTTCTTTTTCAGTTTTTTCTTTTAAGTTAGTAAGAGTCACCAGTTACCCCTGAAACTCTGAAAGTGTGTTGTGGCCTCTAACACTTCACCTACCCCTCCACCATCAGCAAAGTGGTGAGTCGAAAATAGGTGAATGTTCATTTTAGGGGGGAACTATCCCTTTAATAAATGGCTATATATATCTAAACGTTCATCGCCAACCTCAAAATTTCCAGGTTATTCTCAACATTTTGACTTTAAATGCAAAGTCTGATTTAGTTGGACTTGATCTTCAACATTTAGATTTTTGACTTTGTTAAATAAACCTTCCTCCTCTCATGTTTCCTATGAACCCAACCAACAATC